CACTTTGTCTGTAATTCAGTATTGCTTGTATAGTTCTTATGTTATTTTATAAATGGACGTCTATCTGTTATTATGTTTTCCTTCTTTTATTTTTAAGATAAATTTTTTTTTTTTTTTTGGTTTTTCTCCAGTACCGGGAACCGAACTCACGACCTTGCGCTTGCCAGGCAGGCGCTTTGCTGCTGAGCTAAATCCCCAGCCCCCCACCTTCCTTTCATGGTCTCTGTGGTTCGCAAGAGCCCAGAAGATGGGCATAAGCATCACTTTATCCACCCAACAATGTCAAGGGATAGGTGGAGGTATCTCCATTCAGAGAAAGGAAAGACAGACAAGCAAGGGCAGGGAAGAAAAAGGCTCACAGAAATGGGAAGGTGAGGCAGCGGAGAGGGGCCTGCTACAGGCCCCATGCTCAAAGATGAGCACAGTGCACTTGTTCAGAGCTGAGTATTTGAGGCCGGGGATATAGCTTAGCGGCATAAGTGCCTGCCTGGCAAGCATAAGGTCCCGAGTTCTATCCCCGGTACAAAAAAGAAAGCTGAGTACTTGTCAGTGCATCACAAAATGTGCCCCTGACCCCCCTTTCTGCTGCCCATCCCTACACAGCAGGTCAGATGGAGGAGCAGGGAGGGTCCCAGAGGCAGGCAGAGAAGAGCACTCCTGTCTTGGGCTGCCAGCCAGAAGAGAAAGCCTGTGGGTATTAGGGCAGTGGGCAGAAATTGGAGAAATGACACAGGACTCCCTGACCCAGCCTGCCTGCCCTCTGTCTGGTTCTGTGGGACTTCATATTCTTCTGGTACTTAAGTTTCTTAGAATGGGTTCCTCAGCCAGGCATAGTAGCACATGCCTGTAATCCCAGCACATGGGAGGCTGAGGCAGGAGGATCGATGGAAGTCAGAGGCCAGTCTGTGACAGAAAGTGAGTTCAAGGCCAGCCTGAACTGCATAGTGAAACCCTGTCTCAAAAAGAAAAAAAAAAAGAATGGGTTCCTACAACTCACAACCAGAAGGCTTATTTTGCTTGTAGCAGTATCTATTACGGGCATTCCTCATTTAACACTTACCTGTTCAGACTTGTGACCTGTCTCTCTTTTTGGTATAGTTCTGTAGAGGTTGTTTATAGAGCCTCAGTCTTTTTTGTACACTACACCTTTATACAGTACTGTAATTTTTGCCGATTATACAGTACAGTACTACAGTTTTATCTTCTGTTATACATTATAGTACTACGTGGCCAGGCATGGTGGGGCACACCTGTAATCCCAGCACTCTCAAGGCTGAGGCAGGAGGATTAATGCAAGTTTGAGGCCAGCCTGGGCTACCACAAAGGGAGTTCAAGGCCATCCCAAAATGTACAGATGTACAGTGAAACTCTGTCTCAAAAAGACAAAAAAAAAAAAAAAATTATAGTACTGCCTATAAGTCATGCAAATAAAAGCAAAATCATCAACTTTAAGTTTCTTTTGACCATTTCTTTGTTCTAAATATTATAATGTACATACCGTATGCAATTCCTTATTTAGCCACCAATTCATTTAATGACCTAGTCACAAGAACTGAGCTATTAAACAAATAATGCCTATATATCAAAAGATAGGATACCACCTAAATGCTTACCATTCTGGGCAAAGTGAAAATACACAGAGGCATTCTGTAGAATACCAGCTAATGCACATCGTCAACAGGATCAGGTGGAACTCAGTGCCCCGGAAAGTGGCCACAGGGTGCTAACATCAGGCTCTAACTAAATGTGCCCCTGAGGCGTTTGTGAGGAATCTTCCTATGAACCATGATAGAAAGAGCTTCAAGAAGTGGTTTTATTATTCTTGCTGGATGGTGGTGTACACTTACAATCCCAGCACTGGGGAGGCCAACGCAGGAAAATTGCTGTGAGTTCAAGGCCAGCCTGAACTACACAGTGAGACCCTGTCTCAAAAAACAAACAAAATATCAGAAAAAAGAATATTTTTATTTTGCAAAGAAAAAAGTATAAGACTATGCACAGAGCTAGTCGAGGTAGAGCACACGTGTAGTCCTGACTGCTCAGGAGGCTAAGGAAGAAAGATGACAAGTTTAAAACCAGCCTTGGCATTCTGGTGACAGCTTGTTTTAAAATATGTACTATGTTACCCTGTGTAAAAAGTGTGGGGGGGAGTAGAAATAAAAATGTATAAATCAGACAACGCATATGCCTGTAATCCCAGGACTCTAGGAGGCTGAAGCAGTAGGATCACAAGTTTGAGCCAAGTCTGGGCAACTTTGTGACTTACTGAGCCCCTGTCTCAAAATAAAAAATAAAAAAAAATTTTTAAAATCTGGGGATGCAGCTCAGTGTAAAGGCCCTAGGTTCAATCCCTATTACCACCAAATGTAAATAAATAAATCCAATTGCACTGAACATTCAAATGTCTGCATTGTAAAAGAAAACAAAGCAAAATCTACATGATCAGAAGACAGATGACCAACTGAGTTAAAACATTTACAGTGAACAAGAGCCGTAAACAGAACAGAAAACCATGGACAGTTTGGAGGACACAAATCCCACAGATCCTCAGGCTGTACCCACCTCCCTAACAGACTTGAAAAATCACAGGCGGAAAGAGGCCTCTTTGCCTACCAAGTCCTGACCCTGCTGTATAGGAGACTGCAACACGCACCAGCTGCCTGAGCTGAGCCTCTCTATAGAGCAGCAGCCCCAGGAAGGGAGGGGTCACTCTGCAAGGGGAAAACGCTCCTGAAAATTTAAGCTAGGAGGGGAGGAAGACTTCTGATGCAGGCTCAAATGTCCCCCAGTCAGAAAACCCTCCCCTGGGGCGCCTGCTGTCAACAACCAGCCTTTCCCCCCGCCACAACCTCCTCTCCTGTGGGAATTCATTCATTTCATCCAGCAACCCTCTATGGGAACTGTTTCTGTCCTCCTACCTAAAGTGGGGCATCCACCCCTCTCACTTATCACAGGCCTGCAGTCGTGGGTGGGTCAAACTCATCTGCCATAGCAGCCAGCCAGCATCAGCCCTCCTCCCATCTCTGTGGCTGAATTCCTGGCCTCTATAGTTTTCAGCCCCCTGGCCCCTCAAAGTCTTGACCTCTTCTCCCTGCTAATGGCCTGACCCTCTATCCCAACTACACCCTTCCGCATCATCTCAGTTCCACTCCCTGTTGTCATATCCAGTCACTCCTGTGACTCTCACTCCAATGTCCCAGAGCTCCCCCCGTGCTGTTCTGTCCTTGCCCCCATCCCTACTCACCTCCAGCTTTAGCCCAGAGCTCTTTATCCCTCTCACATCATTGAAGGCACCAGCAGAGCTGCTGACAGGACCAGTCGCCACCACCCACCCCTGACTGCGCCCACTGACATCTCACACTGTGGAAATCTCACTGCTTGCCTCCCTCAGCCTCTTCTGAACTCTATGGTACAAACATGCATCCAAAAGAAGACAGAGCATCAGAGGACACCCCCTCCCATGCATGAAGTGTAGCAGCATCCAAAAGTGTTAGTCCCACCGGGCATGGTGGTACACACCTGTAATCCCAGCACTTGGGAGGCAGGAGGATCGCTGTGAGTTCGAGGCCAGCCTGGGCTACAAAGGGAGCTCAAGGCCAGCCTGAACTTCATGGTGAGACCCTGTCTCAAAAACACAACAAATAAATAAATAAAGATTTTTTTTAAAAAGTTGCAAAATAATATGGAAGACCTAAATAAATGGAGGGAGATATTATACTTATAGTGGGATGACTAGGAAGGTAAATTATGTCACTTTTCCTCAAATTCATCCAAGAGTCAGTAAAGTCCCAATCTAAATCTCAACAGAAGGCCGGGCATGGTGACACATGCCTGTAATACCAGCACTCACGAGGCTGAGGCAGGAGGATCTTTGTGAGTTTGAGACCCTGTCTCAGAAAGACATACATACATACATACATACATACATACATAAATAAATAAATCTTAACAGAGTAGTTGAAACTCACAATCTAATTCTCCATTCTGCATAAAAATGCAAAGACCAAACCAGGTGTGGTGGCACACACCTGTAATCCCAGCACTCAGGAGGCTGAGGCAGGAGGATCGATGGAAGTCTGAGGCCAGCCTGTGACAAGAAGTGAGTTCAAGGCCAGCCTGAACTACACAGTGAGACCCTGTCTCACAAAAGACAAAAATAAATAAATAAATAAATAAAATGCAAAGACCAACAACAGTTAGCACAATTCCAAGAAAGAACAAATTTGAACTATCAAATATCAAGATTTATTATAAAGTCTGGGTAAGTGAGACTCTGAGGTATTTGCTTAGCAAGACTGCACAGCGAGACCTTGTCTCAAAAAGACCCTCCCCCAAAACAACAACAACAAAAAACCCACGGCCAAAATACAATGCACAGGGTGAACATTTCCACTGCAAAAAGGAGGAACAGGGCCGGGGATGTAGCTCAGTGGCATAAGCACCTGCTTGGCAAGGGCAAGGTCCTGAGTTTGATTCCCGGTACCAAAAAGAAAAGAAAAGAAAAAAAAAAAAAAACAGGAATAGGGGATAGAAAAATAAACCAACAGAAAAGGCAGGTCTAGAAGCAAACCTGTACTTGTTTAGATACTTGATTTCTGATGACCTACAACAGTAGAAAAAGTTGTTTCAGGCCCAGGGACATAGCTCAGTGGCACAAGCGCCTGCCTGGCAAGTGCAAGGTCCTGAGTTCAATTCCCCGTACACAAAAAAAAAAGAGAGAGAGAGAGAAAGAAAACGCTGTTTCAGTAAATGGTGCGGGGTCCACAGGATACACGCATGTAAAGAAACTAATCGTGACCCCCTTCCTGTGAACTGTACACCTAAATGTAAAACTACAGTTGGTAAATAAAGCTCTGAAAAAAGAGCCACT